CTGGTTGTGGCTATTTTGAATTCACCTTTTTCTGGTTGGAAGCCTCGTAGGGGTGCCTGTGGGTTCCCATCACCTCCCGAGCTGCTGTGACACTCAGGGGCTGGGGGCTTCTGTCCAGCCTCTCCCAGCTCTTTGCCTTATCAGACAGGAGGCCTTTATCTCGGTGTTAAGCTCCGATTACCCACCCAGGAGGTGTGGAGCGCTGCTGGGGTTTTCTGCCCTCTGGCTGAGATCCCAAAAAATCACTTTCATTGTATGATGGGTCCTTTTCTAAAGTGGAACAGATAAGATGGCAAAGGAATAGCCGTAGGTCTATTTGGGAAGTTGCTCCTGCCACCCTCCCTCCAGTACTAAGAGCCCCACAGCTCCTACGAAGCCCAGGAGCCCCTGCATGGAGGTTTCTGCCCTGAGTACCCACAATGGGCTTGTACTTTCTCAACAAGTCTGGGTTTCCAATATCCGTGAGCCTGGCCTCCGTCTAGTGCAGGCCTGGCTCTTGGGCCCTTGAGGAGGGGACTGACATGGGTATTTTCAGTCCTAACTTCAAGTCTCTATTGGTTCACACCCTTAAAGCACAGGGCAGCGTTCCGGTCTCAGGTTCGCTGCCCTCCCTGTGCATGGCCGGGGGAGGCTGGGGGCACACAGGGGGCACACAGGTGGTTGGGCGAGGAGTGCCACAAATCAGCGGTCTGGTATCCTGCCCTCTCAGGATGCCCCTAGGCTTTCCAAGGACACACCCATTCCCTCATACCCGAGTCACCCCTAGAGCCCAAATCTCTTCTCCCTGCTCCTCCTGGCGCTGCCCTGACCCCCAGCCCCTCCCAGTCATGACTCCTGGAGCCCTTTTCTCCACCCGCCTTGTGTGAAGCTCTGTGATTAAAGCAATTCCTCTAAAGTACTTGATTCCTTTCTGAAAAGCCCTTAAGCCTGACCTTTCCAGGGCACATTTGCATTTCAAGTAGAGTTTTACCAGCAGAATTCAGCATTAATGGGTAGAAATGGGGGGCAATTGTTTGGGGAGGGACTTTCCCAGGCCCTGCCGTGCTCTCCTCTTTCCTTTCTACTGGGAGCAAACACTCGCCGGCCCAGCAGCGAGGTGAAGGCGGCTGGGTGCCCTGGAGGCCCCTGCTGGGGTGGGGGGCGGGTACAGAAGAGCAGTGGTTCCCAGAAGGCTCAATTTTCTTCATCAATTGAAAACTTTTTGTGGTGGGACCTAAAATGGCCAACTTTCGCTTTCCCAGGTCTGTTTTATGTCATTGATTTTCTAACGCCATCACTTCACAGCACCGAAGACAAGGAAGGAGGTCGCCTCAGAGCCTCCTAATGGAATAGATTCAGCTTCTAAAATGTATCTCGTTTTTTCGTTTGGCCAGAGCGTGGGGAGGGAGGGGAGGGAGCTGGCATTGAGAACCACGGACTGGCTGCCCATAAGGTCCTGCCCAACTCTCAAATGCCACCATTTTCAAACACCCTGGTTATGCCGCCTTAAAGATGCATTTTCCAATGTTAATAATTAATGGTAATGTTCATTTATCATAGTTTCACAGAACATTCTGCAATGGAAGTGACCCTGGAGAGAGAGTGGGAGGGGAAACAGGAGCAGAGAATGAAAGAAGCGGGGAGCAAACGAGGGGCCAGCGTAGGAAGAGCGACCACTCCTCCAAGCTGTGTCCATCTTCTGGACACGGGGAGGATTCCTGAGCTGCAGGAGCAGTTTTACAGTCCCACCTCAGCTTTATAGAGCGTGTGTGTGTGTGTGCGTGTGTGTGCGTGCCTGGAATATGTGGGGCAGCACCCGACCTAGGTAGCCCCCATCCCAAAGCCTCACCCTCATGCTCCTCCATGGCCTGGCCCCACGCACAGGTGCTGGTCTGCTGCTGTGGCCCTTGCACAGGACACTGCCTGACCCCAAGCAAAAGACATGAAGTGAGCAAGGCGAATGTTTTGGACTGTGGGCAGTCCTAGGAGATGCCAACCCCGGGGACAGATGAAGCCCTGCACTCTAAGCGAGGGACCTTGCTGTTTCCAGCTTGGGTTCAGTTTCTTACAAGCCACCCTGGGAGCCAGGCCACCGCAGCCTGCCCGGAGGCTGCCCTCACGAGTTCCTCTTCTTGCCCTTCTAGGCGTGTGCGGCTGCTGTGGCGCCCTGCGCCCCAGGTACAAAAGGCTGGTTGACAACATCTTCCCCGAGGATCCCGAGGTGCGTCACTTCTCCAGCTGGCTTTGTGCGTCTTCTCTCCATCCTAGCCCGTCCAGGGCTCTGAGGGCTGCTGCCAGGGGAAGGCAGGCCTCCAGGGCCCCTTGCCCCTGGGTCCCCTTGGAGAAGCTGCTAGAGGCCTGAAGGCTGAGGAGATGTAGCTCTCTCTGAAGTCGGCCTGTGCAGAGGGCTCCAGAAGTGTGTTTGGCCTGCTCTTGGCCATCGCTGAACAGCTGAGACATCTTTTTCACTCACGTCTCTGGGTGATAGTTCCTTGAGCTGCTGACTCTCTTGGGTACTCTTTCCTGCTGTTTGGTGTGAGCACTGCCCTTCTTGGGTTTTGGCTCAGGGGCCCATATCTTCTCCCCGCTCCCTAGGTGTCTGCACACAGGGCACCTGGCTTCCTGGCCTCCCAGCCACCACTCCACCATCAGGCCACATCACATGTGCGGTTTCGGGAATGTCAGAATCAGATGTAGTTGACTTGCTCTCTGGGAGCCAGTGACCTCTTCGTGATGGGCAGTGGGAGTCACATTTCCAGCACCCTCTAGAGAACTTCCTCTGAGTTACAGAGCTGCCTCCTTCCTGTCATACCTTGGTGCTGGATATCCAACATGCTTTACTTCGGAATCACTTTGGATGAAGCCTTCATACACACACACACATATACCTATACAAGCATGCATATATGCTTTTGTGTATATACATACATTTGCGTACAACTCTATATGCATACATGTGCACACACATACACATTTATGCCGCTTACTAGTTTTAGTTATAGCTAATACACTTTGGGCTAAGTTGTGGGTTCCTAGAGGACAAGCGCTATATTTTGATGATCTCTATCCCTAGAATCTGCATGTTGCCTGTCGCATACATAGTTGCGCTCTGCTAAACACTGATTAAATGGAATGAATGTTTACCTTGAGATTTCAACTCCTCTGGCATGGTGGGGCCGCCGTGAGCAGGAATGGTCTGTCTTTTGCAGGATGGCCTAGTGAAGACCAACATGGAGAAGCTGACCTTCTATGCCCTCTCAGCTCCAGAAAAACTGGACCGGATTGGTGCCTACCTCTCTGAGAGGCTCATCCGCGACGTGGGTCGTCATCGATATGGGCAAGTAGTTTGGCAAAGTGAAAACGATATTTTTCCAAAACTATGTTATATTTTTAGGGTAAAACATAGAACCTGGTCATTCCATGGATACTGCTAGCTATGATCTTCAGAACGCAGATCTGAAGCTACGCTTTCCTAGCTCCTTTAGAATAAAATCCAAGCTCCTCAGTTTGACTTCTAAAGCCTTCCACAGCCTGCCCCAAACTCACCATTCCACCCAGCCGTGCCCGCCACACCTGCTCTAGACCCACTCCTGATGGACCGGTGTCAATCCCCCCAGCTCTCTTGCTGTCCCCTTGACCTCCTGCATGGGCCCCCACCACTGCCCATCAGCACCGCCTCCCTGCAAAGCCCCTTCCACCTGGTGAGGGAGATGGAGAGGCATCTAGAGTACAAAGGTTTCCATTGCTGACGGCATGTGGGAATCCTCTGCACGACCCACCCGCCAAGCCAAAATCAAGCTGTGCCTGGTATAAAAGCAATTCGTTTCTATGACCATTTTAAATAATACAATTTTTTTATTGAAGAAAAGGGGCATGAATATAGTGTACATGCTGAATATATAAATCACTTGATATATAGCAAAGCAGTTTCACGCAGGTAAAAACGACTTTATCCTAAATTGACTTTATCCTAAAACCAACATTAAACATTAATGCTAATTTCACCTGCCCTCTCTGTAGTTCTCTCAGTGAAAATATTCTGTGGCCACCAGACCCACTTAGAATTATTCCCCTGCCTTCAGAACTGCAGTTCAAAACTGGCATCATCCTGTTAAAAGTAGCCATTGCGGCATCTGAGTATTTAAATCTTTGAAAGCCTCCCTGGGGGCTCTAATCATAACCATTTAGAGAAGAAAAATCTGTTGGAACCGATCTCTCTCCTCCCGTCCATCTTTCCCTGCCCAGTGCCTCCCTCCTCGTCGCTGACGGTTTGGAAGAGCGGAATATTTGCACCCCGAAAGGCTGAGGGCCCGCGGCTCCCCGCCGTCATGCAGGGGTCTGTGTTTGTAGTTTGATCATATGGGCGTGAACCTTGGATGTTGGACGCAGTGGCAGAACCACCCTCTCAGCCCCACTGCTCCCGCAGCACCGCCCTTTCCACCTGTGTGTGAACTCTGTGCTCACGTGGGTTTGGCGTCAGGGGTGATAACCAGATGTGGGCAGACAGAGCACACGGTGTGAGTTTCAAGGTATTTTTCATTGGCATGGACCGTGATGGGTGGTCAATGTGCAGAGCGGCAAAAAGCAACAGGTCTGGGAAACTGAACTTCATAGCGTTCTCCAGCCTTTGTACATTTCCTGTCCAGTGCAGCCCAACTGCTGGCACACCCCAAAACTGGAGAGCGGGGCAGGTCACGGCAGTGCTGTGTGAGACTCAGGGTCCCTTGACAATGGCCACGGAGTGTTAACCATGGCCACATGACATTCTGCCAGGTTCCCCAGTGCCTGGCACCCTGGAGGTTGGAGATGCCCACACCAGAAGGAATGGGCTGCTCCCTGAGAGCCTGGCCCCGGAGCTGACCTGGTCAGGCTCCCGAGAGATACACATTCTCCAGATGACCCCGAGCCTGGTTGAAGGATGAGGCTGAGAGATACCATGATTCCTACTAGATGAAGAGATTCATCCTTCCCTCCATTGGCTGAGGTCAACCACTACTTTTGGGCCCCAAAACCCGGAAGGTTCTGTCCAGGAGTGGGGCTGACCAAACACATTCAAATGCCCCAGTAGTTCTTGGTCAAGGTCACCGCTCTTTGAGTGGTTCTTGGGCAATGACTGGCCTTGCTAAGCTGCCCCTCTCTCCTGTCTGCTGGTCCTCATCTCTGACCCTAGATCTGTCTTTCCCCTCCAACTGCATCTGGTTCCCAGATTTTTCACGCCCACTCCTCCTTCCTGGAGGCTCAGCGCCTCCCTGGCTCCTGGGGCCACTCCTGATTGAGCACAGGGTGTTCAAGCAGAACCAGCTGCCTATTCTAGAATTCAATACAAGGGACTTCATGCCCCACTCCTACACACCAGAGCCTATGTCCGCTCCAGGACTTGGCTGCTCCCCATGAAGCCCAATCCATCCTAGAGTCCTTGGATCCTGCCCTTCTCACCTACTGGGAAGCCCTCCTAATACATCAAGGCCCTTGATTGTCACCTGTTGCTGTGGTCTGTCACCTGTTCTTCCCTTCTCCCTTGGGCCCCTGCAATGGGCCAGTGCTCCCCACATCCTTCCTGCTCCATTCTGCTCCAAGTGCCCGGTCAGGCCAGTTCAGTTTCCCAGACATGTCGCTACAGTGGACACCTTCCAGGACACCAAGCCCAGATCAGATCTCTGCCGAGGCCAGCCTGCCTGACCCCCTAGTCTTATTGAGCAGGTGTCACCCTGAGAAGCCTGTGCTCTGTTCCCTTTGAGAGTGTAGGGTGTACCCTGGTTGGTTATGATAAGAAAGGTCCAAGGCAACAAGCATTGGACTAGGGACTTCCAGGATCCCATTGACTTCTAATCAAAGATACTTCAAAGAGTTCAAGTTCATCATCACAATCCTTCCATCCTTACTATTGGGATCAAAGATGGGGAATGAAGACTAGTGTATTCAAAAAACAAGGCCTTAACCCTCACCACTTTCAGTTTCACTTCTGCCATAATTTTTACTTTCCCACAGTTTCCATTCCTGGTCAGTAGCCAATTTTATTTTATTTTTTTCTAGCCAAGGATGCTTTTTCTTATCAGGGTTTTCCTGGGAATTTTTTTACAGGAAAAGGAAAAGCAACAATCTAAGCTCTGAGGTTTGGAAGGCCTTCTAGTTTCTTCTCTTGCCAAACCCCACCCTACCCTTTCCTCTCCCTCATTTAAACTCTATAAAATAGCGGTGAAACCTTCATACAGAAGGATGCTGGGGATGATTCATTAGAGAAGAGAATTCCACGCTGCCTGTCCCTGTTCCCCCCACCTGCCGTGTCTGATTAGCAGAGTGTGTCCAGGTTTGTCTGCAGGGAAAGTCTGTCCCCTTTGGAAGGGCCCCAGCCCTGCAAGATTCCGTCTGCTTCACTGGCCCTCACAGTGGACCCGACACAAGCTGGAACTGGGCCCGTGAGGCACAGCAGGTTTCCTGGACTGGGACTGGGATGGCCTCTGAAGGTCAAGGCTACAGCGAGAAGGGCAAGACTATGGTGAGCCAGGAATGGCCGGTCCCCCGGAGCAGGGAAGAATGGTGGCTTTGTTCACTGAAGGAGCTCAAAGCCCCAATGCTGCCTTTATATTTCAAAGTCACTCTGTAGATAAGAACATGACCTGATCCACTTGTGAATGTGCCAGAGATGACTATTTCATAATATTTCATAATATTTTATCCTAATAATATTAAATGTAATTTGATAATAGTTGACAGTTCACATAGATAAAAGAAATAAACATTTTATAAGCATAGACAGGAAAATTTCAGAGTAGAGAGGCTCTGTTTCTTATGGTTGCTCAGTGTAGAAGTTAGCTCAAGGGTACCTAAGAAATGCTTTCTGATGTCTCAAAAAAAAAAATTTTAGAAGATGCCATGATTGTGTTACTTTATATGTTTGGATTTGCAAAGCTGATTCATGTGCAAGACAGTTTTGACACACAAGAAATGAAATTAAGTGGCTGCCACAAGACGTATTGTGGAGCCTTGTGTTGTGATCAGTGCAAGTCCTATCAAAATACCAATGTCATTCTTCTAAGAGCTAGAACAAATACTCTGAAAATTTATATGGAACCACAGAAGACCCTGAATAGCCAAAGCGATCTTGAGAGAGAAGAACAAAGTTGGAGGTATCACGCTCCCTGATCTCAAACTATACTACAAACCTATAATAATCAAAACAGTATGGTACTGGCACAAAAACAGACACATAGATCAATGGAATAAAATAGAGAACTCAGAAATAAATCCCTGCTTATACGGTCAACTGATCTATGACAAAGAAAGTAAAAATATACACTGGAATAATGACAGTATCTTCAACAAGTAGTGTTGGGAAAACTTGGCAGATACATGCAGAGAAATGAAACTGGACCACTCTCTTAGGCCATATACAAAAATAAGCTCCAAATGGCTTAAATACTTTTAAATTGCAAGCCTTGAAACCATAAAACTCCTAGAAGAAAACATAGGAAGTAAACTTTATCTGACATCAGCCTGAGTATTATCTTTTCAGTAATATCCCCTTAAACAAGGGAAACAAAAGAAAAAATAAACAAATGGAACTACATCAAGCTAAAAACCTTCTGCATGGCAAAGGAAACTTTCAATAAAACAAAAAGGCAATCTACTGAATGGGACAATATATTTGCAAATGTTATATTCTGGTAGGGGTTGATATCCAAAATATATAAGAAAAATTTTGACACATTTGCAGCAGCCTCCTCATTAGAAGTTAAAAGATAGCCCCCCTTTAAGAATGTCTACCTTGTTTTCTTTAGAATGCAAATGGTTTATAAGTGGGGGAAATAATCTTTCACCATTGACCTTACCTGATCATATTCTCCTTTTGCCACTATCATGGAACAAATGTTGGGGTGAGCTTAGACATGCACTCCTAACTCTCAGGAGGAATTTGATGCTTGGCATTTTTCTTGGGATTTAAGAGAGGCATTGAAGGAGACAACTGCCACCAGAATAACTGGGGACTGTCCTGTGAAGGCTGGTTTGGGAAGGATTGGGTATATTTAGCATGGAGAAGAGAAGAGGAAAAATTAGGTTGTTGTTTTCAAGTGGACGGAGGGCTGGCAAGTAGGAGGAGGTTCAGCCCTCTTTCTTGCTGCTCCTAAAAGTAGAATTGTGAATAAAGAATAGAGGTTATTAGGATTTGCTTGAAATATAAAGAAGTTTTTATTTGGTTGTCAACAGGATGGGCTGACTTAACTGGTAAGCTCTTCGCCGTTGGATGTTGTATATTCCTGGTTCTGAGGGTACTCAGGTTTTAGACTTTAGAAGAAGCTAGGGAGTTAGAATTGATACAAACATTTTCTCCATAAGGTGGGAAGAATTTTAATTCTGCGTCTGTCTAATCCTCCGTGAGGTCAAAATGCCCCCTACGTAGGGTAAGTGTCACCTAAACATGGTGATGCCGTCAACCATATCGTTTGTGTAGATCATCATAGGACTGCTGAGATCTTCAAATACAAAACTTGCAAATTTTATATTCCTTAACCTTTGCAATTGGCTGGTCCCAGGCCCATCTCAGATTTTTCATAAACTTTCTTCATAAAGTTCTTCACTGCCTCCCACCTAGAGCCATCTCTCCCCTTCTTTGGAACTCTCATGGGATATCTCACTCGATTTTCTCGTAGCATTTCTCGTTTCCCCTTTAGAGGAGATATCTGTGTACTTATCCCATCATCGGACTCTAGGCTTTTTAACTTGACAAACTTCATCCTTACACCCCCTGCAGCGAACAGCGCAGAGCTTTTCCTCAGCGGGTGCTCAACAGTCACTTCTTGATTGGATCAAGCAATTCTCTGATCTCGCTGGATTTGGGTTCAGAGTTTGCCCTTCTGGGCACTGTCCTCTTGGCTTGTGTTTACTCATGAAGTGGAACACTTCATCTGTCCTCATGCTCTTTGGCTGTAAAATGAGAGGCTAGAGGAGATGGCCTTTAGGCTCTCTTCCAGCCCTGATTCTCAGTGCCCGGCTGGAGTGGGCACTTGAGGGAATGGCATCTAGGCATCGACAAGTTGTAGAAGAGCCTCATTTCCCGGATGCTGCCCAGGAAGTCACTGCACGACCACCTGGATTGCCCCTGCCATGCGGTGTGGGTGGGATGGGCGCGAGGCTGGGTGATGGCATTGGTGCTGTTTCTGCAGGTACGTGTGCATCGCCATGGAGGCTCTGGACCAGCTGCTCATGGCCTGCCACTGCCAGAGCATCAACCTGTTCGTGGAGAGTTTCCTCAAGATGGTGGCCAAGCTGCTGGAGTCCGAAAAGCCCAACCTGCAGATCCTGGGCACCAACTCAGTAAGGAGCTGCCCGGGGCCCTGGAGATGGGAGCGGGGGCTGGAGGAGGGTGGAACCCCTGGCTCAGCATTACGGTCCATTCCTATTTGGTTTCTGACCCTAAGTAGAACTCAGTGCTTATCTTAGAGTCCGCCTTTGTGTGAATAGAGGTATTTTTAGTTTTTTATTTGAATATAAATATATGATTTATATATTATAACTTATATAAATATGTTATAGATAAAATAAATTTTAAACATAAAATTCACCATATTAAAGCATATGACCCAGTGGTTTTAGTGCAACCGTCAACATTGTCTAATGCATTTATCTTTAGACGGATGATCTTCTAACTTTTTTTAGCAATAGACTTTTCCCTTAAAGAATTTTAAGTGAGGTCCTAAGAAATATAAAAATAGATGGAGAGGAATGGGAGGGGGTGTTTGGTGCCCTCACAGCCTGGGCCCTGGCATCATGGGACATGCTTTGAACCTAGTCCAGGTTGTGCCTCTTTCAAAACTAGAACAAACTGACATCCACAGGACAAAAGTGCCAGATACGTGGAAAGATCGTAGAGAAGCAGGAAGCGGGGCCCCTGACTCAGTTCCTTCCTTCCCTAGCTGCGTAACCTCGAGGGAGTTACCTTCTACGGGCCTCAGTCTTTTCACGGATACCACAAGCAGGTGGAATGGTCCAAGCTCTGTCATGCTGGTCTCAGTACACTGGCTGCTATCATGAGAGGTCATGGTTTTAGGAGAGAAGAGCTATCGGGTGTGTTAAGAACTCCCAGCTCCATATGTGTGTGTATCCATACTGAATATTCTCGGTGCCTTCTTCCATTTCTTGCCCGCTCTCCTATTTCCTCTTCAGGACACACTTCCAGCTGCCGGTCTGCAGGCAGCCAGGTGTTCAAAGCTCTGATATGCAGCTATTTTACAGATAGCACACTCAGAAAGTAAGGATGGCCCTCCTAGCATCCCCCTCCTGCCTTTTCTGAATTTTTATTGCACAGGTCACAGCTGCTTTCCTATCCTACGGAAGTTGATTTAACCAGGAAATAGTCTTCCAACTTTACTTTTTTTACCAAAAGTCACAACCTATGCCCTTCTCTTTCCTCTGTGAGCCAGCCACCTTTGACAAATTACATATACAATAGCTGAGGGTGAAGTCCTTTGTCAGGTTGCCCTGGCAACAGCTTCAGATACTGTTTCCCTTATCCTGTTTCAGATAACCATAGTCTAGAAGAGAACATCTGAAAGGAAAATAAACCAGTCATCCAGAGGGCATGTCCCCATGGGGGACACAGAAGCAGGTGGCCACCAGCTTTTGCTTTCCCCAGAGCAAATCCTAGCCGGGGGTGGGTGTTTTGTTAGCTGCAGACTTGAAAATTCAGAGCCCTGCAAATTCCTAGATTCCCCATCACGGTGAATCATTTCATCTGCAAGACAGTGAGTCAACTAATAATCACTGTGCTGCACACAGTGAGGATTGTGTTGAAGGACGAACAACTGTAAGTTAAGTCAAATAATTGTGGTAGACTCAGAGTCCAGCTTCGGAAGCAGCCTTTGCTAGTGTCTGTCATCCAGATGTTCTTTCCAGCTTTCCAAGCCTGGAAGCTTCTCGAGCCTTCCCAAGAACGACGTTCTTTTACTTCCATCATTTTAGCGCTGCCAGCATGCTAGTGCCTGATATCATCTTGGAGAGTCCAGCCTAGGCGTTTCAACTGCTTTTCATGGGGATTCGAGGCGCTGTGGGGAAAGGAGGGTCTGCAGGAGCAGGAATAGAAGGACTCTGTATGGAAACTTGCATTTGGATAAAGGGGTTTGCTGCCAGAAAGTTAAAAGAAAGACAAGGCAGGAGGGGAAAAGAGAAAGAGAAGGAAAGAAAAAGAAAACCAGAGCTTATCTACCACCCCAATTTTGCAGGACTTTTCTGCCCGGAAACAGGGGCCCAAAGAAGTCAGAGCCCATCTGTGCTCGCACAGCTGGGGCACTAGATTTAGACGGTGATTTATGCAGCCCCATGTCAGGTGTTCTCTTCTCACTGGGCCCCACCCAGTGTGGGGTCCGCTCCCTAGAGCCCGGCCTTGGCACCAGCGTCCGCGAGGTCAGGCTCACCCTGAGTCACCTCTGCCTCCAGGTAGCTTTTCCCTCGGACCTGGTTTTGCTGCCGGAATCTCATCCTTCGGCAACCCAACCCCCTTCAAGGTCCCCAATCTGACCAATGACAGAGTCTCCTGCAGAGCGTTGGAAACCTACAGATTCCTAGGTCTCAGCATCTGGGAGTCCATGTTTTGGTTTCTCTGGCACTAGCAGCAGTTTTGGGGACCACTGACACACTGCAGTCTCAAGCCTTGGGAGCGTTCCCTCCTCTCTCTCTTACTCTTTTTTCCTTTCTATATCCATTATTTCTCTCTCCATGTCTCCAACTTTTTCCTTTCTCTGGTTCCTTCCCTAAGTCCAGACATAAGTTCAAGTCTCTTCCAGTATATAAACAAGTAAATAAACAAGAAAAACAAAAAATTTTATGTTCTACATAGCCACAAAATATCTTTAGCTCTCCTGACAAAACTAGCATTCCCTGATTTAAAAAAAAAAAAAAAATTAGTCCCAATTCAAAGTTTTCTAATAGTCCCCAAATTGTCTTTTATTGCTGTCTTTCAAGTCAGGATTCAGTGACGATTGCGCGTCTACTCTGTTTTCTGTCTTGTATGTCTCTTAATCAGTCCCAACCCACCTCCTGCCCCTCTTTGCTTCTCGTGACACTGACCTTTGGGGGAGCCCAGGCCAGCTGTGTTGTAGAGTGGCTCCCATTCTGGATTCGTTATTGCCTTGTGGTGTCCTTCATTTTGCTCTCCTGTCCCCTGTACTTCCTGCGAACTGGAATTAGATCAGACGGTTTGATTGGATGCAGTTAAAGACTTTGGCCATACTGCTTCGCGGGGGTGCTGGGTATGACACTGAGCACCCCACCAGGAGCACCCGCGTCTGTGGTCCCGTTTTCATGGGCGCTGAGTGCAATCCCGGGTTAAGGGTTAAGGTGGTGACCTGGGATCGCTCTGTGGATGGAAAAGCATTTTGGTCCTTGCAGTTAGAAGTTTATGAAACCATGCAAACAGCCGTTACCCACTCATCTTTCAGCTGAGGTTTGATCTTTGGTGGCCTTTCTCCCTGTTGATTATACCTCTTCATACTCCCCTGGCTTCCTGGCTCTGTCACTCTGGCCCTTCTCACCTGGCTTTTCCTTCATTTTCGAGGTTGGCCAAGGATGAACATGTTCTAATCCCTGGAACCTGTGAATATCACCTTATATGATAACAGGGATTTTGCAGAGGATCTTGAGATGGGAGATTATCCTGGATGGGCCAATATAATCACAAGGCCTTTAGAAGAGAGAGGCTAGAGGATCAGAGTGCTTATGTAGGTAAACAGCGAAAAGGCCTGCAGTCCTGGACCCGGGGAGGCTGGGGTTCGCTCTCTGCCCAGCATTTTAAACTGGGGCTCTGTTGTAGATGGAGGAAGTAGTGAGGCTCAGTGTGCCCGTCTGCAGAGGGAAAGGCTAACCTCTGCTTGGAGAGGCTGGGCCAGTACTGAAGTGAGGCCAGACAGCTCAGCTTATGTTTCCCAGACCAGGGGAGAGCTGGTTTTGCAATGTCAATATTTGGAGCTTCTCTCTCTCTATTGACCCAGGCCCTTAGTAACTCTCAGCTTTCACACAGCAGTGGCTCCTTCCTGTCTGTGCCAGAGCGTTGGTGATCTGCCCCAGCAAGCTTGGCACCCTTCGGAGAGTGTAAGGAACTGAAACTTTGATCTTGAAAGGGTGGCCCTAGCGGTACCCATAACCTTTGAAGTGTCACAAGTTCAGGATTTTCAGTTTGTTGCTATGGAGACCTTTCTCATCATTGTAATATCTTTAAAAAAAGAAAGAAACCCACTTTATTATTTCACAATCATGCATTAGGTAAGTGGCATTTTCATAAAAGCCATTTGTAAGGTATGAATTAGCAATGGTAGGGGTGAAACAGACAGAAAGTTCCTGCTTGTAAAAAAAAATAGTGACCAGTGGCACAGGGAAGTGTTTTAATTATTCTCAGATGTGTGCACTTCTGCATACACCCAAGTAGTCGGTCTTATTTTAAGCTGCCTCACCATATGTGAAGTAAATATAGTATAAGTGAAAAGATTCAAACCGTCGTGAATGAAGAGTGGGCTGCTCATTGCACACATGGGAAACCAAAGCCGAAGTCCCACTCAGGTCACACCACCAGGCAGAGTCGAACCCCCGTAGCTGCACGGCCGCCCTGAGTGGGCAGACGCCCTGCCCCAGCCAGGCTGCGGCTGTGGGGAGTGTGGCCTGAGAACATCCTGTTCGTGGAAGAGCAGCGACGCACCCAAATTTAGCGTCAGACAAACTTAGCTTCAGCCTCCGTATCAGCCTAAGTCTGTGTCCTGGCCTTAGGGGGCTTATGAAGGTCACATAGCCAAAGGCTGACTTGATTGTTGTTTCTAGAACTCCCGAACTGCGTCTAATCAATGATCTTGTGATCACGTGGATTCCCACTACTCCTCTTCTCATTCATAACAAGCCCCTTTCCACCATAACGGGGGTTATGTTAATGAGGTGACTTTTGGAGGAGACCCAGCCATGTGATCAGAGGGCTGGAAATTTCAGTACCCCCCGCCCCACAACCTCCAGGGAGAGGAGAGGGGCTGGAGATTGAGTTCAATCACCAACAGCCAATGATTTGATCAGTCATGCCTGTGTGATGAAACATCCATAAAAACCCCAAAGGTTGGGGTTCGGAGAGCCTCTGGGCTGGTGAACATGTGGAGATGCGGAGAGAGCGCAGGAGCTCCTCACCCCTTCCCGCACACCTTGCCCTCCTTGTCTCTTCCATCTGGCTGTTCTTGAGTTACATCCTTTTGTAATAAACAGATAATCTAGTAAAATGTTTCTCTGAGCTCTGTGAGCCACTCTAGCAAATTAATCAAACCGGGGGGGGGGGGCACCTCCCATCTATAGCCGGTCGGACTGAGCCCTTGCCCGTGGGATCGGATGCTGACTCTGGGTGAAGAGGGTCAGAACTGAGTTGAATTCAAGACGCCCAGCTGGCATCTGCAGCATTGCTGTTGGTGCCGTGGAAACCGCACCACACAGACACACACACACACAGACACACTGGAGTGGGAGCTAGTGTCAACTCAATTGTATACCCTTTTTGAACCCATAGAAATGTTTGCAGCAGTTAAATAATACAACTCAGAATAATGGAGAATATATTTTAAGTCTGATCTTTTTAGAGTTGTTGGCACCACTAAGTTTATAACAACACACTAAGTAACCTATAAGATTTATACTTAACTTTTTAGTAATTTAACTTGGTTGGCGGTTCTTGCTTCTCTATGGGACTCGGTTGAAATCAAGTCCCTATTTAGGCCTGCACGTGTCCAGCGTGGTGACAGCAGAGGCCTCTAGCGACCAAGGGTGCTGAGCAAGACTTACTGAAATGAAAAGGCAAACTTAAAAATGTACTCCAATTGTTAACAATCCTGTGTGATTACACTTTTTAATCCAATTTCGGATGTTCTTGTTTCCCGGAATGCACTGTAGGGTGGTGCCGTGTGCTTCGGGGGGCTTTGCTCAGTGTCAGGGGTCGTCCTCGCAGCCCCTCGGCCTGTGTGTGGCAGCTCCAGTGCCACAGGAAGCCAGAGCTCGAGAGCCCCCCTCGCTTTCCCGCCTCTCCCCGCTCTGCTCCCCGGGCAGGGACGGAGGGGAAGGGCCGGGCTCTGGTCCTGTTGTGTAGACAGGAGCCGTGAGCAGGATTTGGAACTCAGTGTGCTCTGGGAGGCAGACCAGAGCCGAGTCCTGGGTGCATGGTTCCCGGGATGTGGATGTCGCCTGGCTTTAGATGGCAGGGGCCTGGGGACGCAAAGGCCCGGAGCTCAAAGGCGAGGAGCACAGTGGTCACCTCTCCGTGCATTTCTCTCTTCTCCGGGGTAGTTTGTGAAGTTTGCCAACATCGAGGAGGACACCCCATCCTACCATCGGAGCTATGACTTCTTTGTGTCCCGCTTCAGTGAAATGTGCCACTCCAGCCACGACGACTTGGAAATCAAGACCAAGTGAGTACAGAAGGCGACGGGGCCGCGCAGTGCGTGTCTCATCCCACCGGCGTGTCCCCTGCGCCGAGTTACCGGGGAGGAGGGCACCTGCTGGGGCCTGGTGGGGTGCAGGGGGAGCGGGAGGAGGTTTAGAGCACCCTTCCCGAACCTGCCGTGTCTTAAGTCTGTTGAGTTCAAAACGGCCAATGTGCCAGCGCGGCTCCTGCTTGGGTGAAGTGTCCGGTTCTTCTGCGCAGTGCCGGGCGGGCGGCTTGCTCCTCTGGACGCCCTCACCCGTGTCTCTCTCACATCGATGTTCCTCTCTCTCCCTCGCTCTCTCCTCCTCCCTCCCTTCTCTTTCTAAAAGTCAATGGGAAAAAATATCCTCCAGTGAGGATTAACAAAAAATAATAATAATAACAAAATGGCTGTGACGAGGCAGAGGGGCGAGAGCAGTCGGGCCTGTGCAGAAGCAGGTGTGGGGGGCGGCGCAGGACTGTAAGCAGGTGTGGCTGTGACAGGTGGCGACGGCTCAGGCGGTGCCAAGCTTTCAGGAGTGGGGCAGAGGGGATGCCCCTCATGCCACTCTCCACACACACACACAATCACACACACACACAATTGTGGCAGTGGATGGAGAGGCACAGAGCAGACATGGTCTGTACCACATTCTGACCGTGTCGTGAGTGTCCTGAACATCGGGAGAGGGTTGCTCACATTTGCTCCTGGCAAACCGGGCAGTGCCATTTGCACCCACAGCCTGGCACTTGCCACCCATGGAAGGAAGACCTGTGGGTGAGATAAATTCCTGGCATCAGCCCTCTTCCTTGCTCTCATTGTCTCTCTTCCACAACCTCCCTATACCTTCTTTACCCAGAGATCTCCCCCTTTCACTCACAGCCCTTGCAGAGCCCAGAGCCCCTTTCTAAGAACCACCCTTGGGCCCCATAAATAGGTGTGTGTGTGTGATTGTGTGCAGTCCCTTGGGGTTCAGGGACACCCTGGGTCACTGGCATGTGGGTGGACCTGCACGCAGCCCATTACAAGGAGAGGTAAGAGGTTTCCCGTCCCCCAGATCTGACCTTTCAGAATTTATTTTGAACGGGTCAGTCAGCTCTGGTGTCATGGAATGAAATGTGTTAATCTGTGGAAGGGATTCCCAGGAGACTGAAGGCAACGAGAAAACTAAATTCACATTCCTGCATGAGGAAGCCCTGGGAAGAAAAGTTTCCACCCACCAGGCCTGCTTTCTTGCCAGCCAGGCTCTCTTGGGTGGGACGTGAGCCCAGCATGTTGGGATTATTTCTTTTGTGCCTCAGGAAGCACCTTTGAACTCAGAGCCCAGAACAGTTAGTGGGATACTATTCTGGTTACTTCACTCTCAAGTCCGGACAGCCTCTGGCTCAGGCCTGAGTAGGGGTCAGGGTCAGAGCGGCTGAGCAGTTCCCGGGGGAATCCTGTGCATCTTCAACAGCCCTGGTTGGTCCTGGGCCACAGCACCCCGGTGCTGTTAGGTGTCTCCCACCACCCGGGTCTGGTCACCAAGGAAGGCCCAGGGGAGCACCCCGCTAACCAGATTTAAAACCGAAGCTGAAAATACAAACATGAATTGAATATTTAGAAAAACTGCTCAACCTCAACAGTGATCAGAAGGATCCAAATTCAAGTAGCTACAAGATGTGAGGCATTTTCTGAGCCATGAAATTAGAGCAGATGTTGGAAGTGAGGTACCCGGGGCCACTGAGGGAAAATCGAGGGTGGCATTCTTCTGCAGCCCACGCACTCAGTAATTCAGTAATTCCACTCATGGCAATGATTTGAAATGTGGTAAAACCTTTTATACAGTGATGTCCATCATAGCATTATTATAGTAGCAAAGAATTTAGAAACAAATGACCCATAGGGGACCATTTAGAAAGTTCTTGTGACAATACATCATGCAGCTAATGAAGTGTTAATGATATAGAAAATGCTTATGATAGAATGTTATGGGGGAAAATACATATACATATGTAATAGGTTCTTAATTCTGTTATATGTTATGCACAGAAGAAAGGAAAGCCACCCAAAGCCCAGTCATGGTTATCTATGAGTGGTTAAGGTGGGGGTAAATCTTCTTTATACTTTTCTATAATTTGCATGTATTATTTTATAATTAGAAAAAAAGCTTGATTTAAAAAAGAAAAAAATGAACTTCAGGCTGAAATAAATAGCCAGTAAAGAGGGACCCGTCCTGCAGGGCCACCCTGACTCTGAGTGTGTGAAAGGGCTCTCTGTGCTGTGACTCGATTTCCTCTGTGGTTTCTCAGCCAACTTAGCCCCAGTCTAAACACTTTTGTGCCAAGAGTGCCTGGTAGCCCTGTGCCTTTCCCTCCAGATCCCCCCTCCTCACTCCTAGGTTGCTTATAGCCCTGGATTTGGCCTCATCAGTTCTTGGTAGCACTATGAGCTCCTGTATCTTGGGCTCAAGCTGGGACAAACCCAGCTGAGAACTAAAGAGACAGAGCCTGAAGGGATGAAGCCTGGGTGGTACCAGGGCAAAGGCAGCCAGAAAGCATGGCATCCCAGGCTGGTGTCCACCAGCGCAAGAAACCAGCCAGCCAGGAGCCCCAGTCACAGGAAGTGTGGAAGGTGGGCTCCATCCTGCCTTTGGAGGGACGAATACATCCCTAACCCTTCCACTTGCCTTAGAAGCCGGACTTCTCGGGGTCTGAGGACTTCATCTCACCCTTTTCCTTACAGAATCCGAATGTCAGGCATCAAAGGACTGCAAGGGGTGGTGAGGAAGACGGTGAATGATGAGCTGCAGGCCAATATCTGGGACCCACAGCACATGGACAAGATCGTCCCGTCACTGCTTTTCAACCTGCAGCACGTGGAGGAGGCAGAGAGGTAGGCAGGCAGGGACAGGCTCGACAGCGGACACACACAGCCCTCTCAGGCTGCCTGCCCCGGCTGCTCGGGAACCACACGGCAGGCTGTGTGCTAAAACCTGGCTATGAGGCCTGGGATCTGGGCTTTGTGGCTTGTTCTGCAGTGAGTCCAGGGCCAGCTTTCTGTCAGCCCCTTGCGCCCTCACACCCTCAAGGTCTGTGTTCATGAAGGCAGGACAGTAATGGTGCTGGGCTCCCCGGGGTGAGTGTGTGCTGGTAAGAACGAAGACTCGAGTACCTCTGTCTCTCTGGAAGCAGCAGGCCAAGCAGGTTTTAAAATGCTTTGCGTGACTCTGCTTATTGGGAGCTTTCCCTCCCTGACCTTCCTCCCTCCCTCACTTCCTAATGCTATTTCAGGCCCTGAAAACATGCCTGTTTGACCAGCCAGCAGCCACTCTACACAAATCGCAGATACTGGGTTTTAATTTGGAAGCCCCCAGACCTGGAGTTCATCCTGTCCCTGCCCCTTGCGCTTCCCCCCTGTGAAATGGGGTGGAGGGAAATGTTCGCGCCCCTGTCCACCTCCGCTGCGCCAGACGCTGGCTCAAGGCATTGTTGGGTCCCTCACTTTCTGCCCGTTGGGCCTCGGGAGCTAGTCAGGCAGGGAAAGTAAGTGTGCCCTCTGGCGGCTGATTTCGGAATTGCACCTCACTGACAAGATTGGTCTGTGGTCTCAGGGCCCCGGAGTCCTGGGGATCCTCTGTCCATGCCTGGGCCCACGTCCTGCGACTCAGGTACCACTGAGTCACACCTGAGCCAACCACTGTGCCTTTCTCCCCCCCTTCTCCTCTCTCCCACTTTCTTTTGCTTTCTGCTATTCTACCCACCTCTCTTCGTATCACGTCTCCTTTTTTCCTTCTGAAGCCTTAGGGGCATGGAGACTCACAGGCCCACAGTGCTCAGGGTATCTGTCCTTCTGACAGAGGCACATCAGGCCTATCCTTGAGGATTTCCAGAAAAGCTTCATCTTTTCTCCCACAATCTTCCTCCGCTCTGGGCTTCTTTACCCCATTTAGTATCTGACAGCTGTGACATCTCCCCTGTGACCTACATAAATTTCCTGCTTGTCCTACTGTCACCATTTGCATGGATGCAGCACACGCAAAGCCTGGCTCCCAGCTTTGCCTCCCATCCTTCACCCACGAGGCTGTGTGTTCCCACAGCCGGTCCCCCTCGCCCCTCCAAGCGCCAGAGAAAGAAAAGGAGAACCCGGCAGAGCTGGCTGAGAGGTGCCTTCGGGAACTGCTGGGCCGGGCTGCCTTTGGCAACATCAAAAACGCCATCAAGCCTGTTCTCATGTGAGTCCTCCCCTCCCCTTCCCCCTCCCCACATCCTACCCCGCCAAGCAAACAGTTCCAGGTCCTGGCATCTACTTGAGATGTTCCGGTTGTGGTGCTGTGGCCAAGTCCGTCCCTTCTCTGTGCCTGTGTTCCCTGTTCTGGGGCAACAGAAGCTACCCCACAGTGGCCAAGTGCACTTTGGGGAAGAAGAGTTGGTAGCAGGGCCCCCGAAGCTGAAGGCAGGTGCCCCGTTCACTCCTAAATCCCCGGCTACAGAGCCCTGTTCCGGGGCTGGGACTGCCTGCCCTGGGGCCCCTCTTGCTCCCCTTCTCTCCCTTACCGAGCTATGTGAGGGCTGGGCCTCGCCCACCAAGCTTCTCTCCTCCCTAACTTCACCTTGCATTTCTTAGCCAGTCCCCCATGTTTTCTCCCTCACAGCCATCTGGACAACCATTCTCTGTGGGAACCCAAGGTGTTCGCCATCCGTTGCTTTAAAATCATCATGTATTCAATTCAGGTACAGTGGCTCCCCTGGTCCAGCTTGTCTCCCTGGCCAAGGGCACCTCTGGACAGTGCACCTGTAGACAAGGCCAGCTGTCTCAATGGGTTCTGCTTAACCTCGCTGTGGAGAGTGACCAGTTAGTGTTATTTCTAATCCATCATAGATCAATACTTCCTAAAGTTCAATTTAAAAGAATTCATAGAAAACGTAAATGAATAATTCATGCAAACTAGAAGCCCACAGACCATGCTTGGCTGCCACGGTATTGTCAGATTGCTTCCTAAACACTTACTCTCAATTTCTGTACTTATCTCAGTATAAATGGGCATCAGACAGATCTTGAATTGTCACCAGACTATGGGCCACACTTTGAGCAGCGCTAGACTAAACCATGTGGCCTCTCATGGCCATTAGCAATAAGACATGAGAAAATGAAAAGGAAGACAGTATTTTAACATTGACGTTCGACCCATTTGAAGGGAGAGGGCCCAGGGAAAATGTGGAAACCCAGGTCTTCACTGGGCTTTGGCTTTGTTCCTTGTGGGACCAGCAGGGAAAAGGAAGCAGGGTATCTCACCTGTGTCCAGGCTGCCCTTTGGGTCCCAGTCCAGGGCTGCCTGGCTCAGAGGCCGCGTGGGGGTTGCTGTTTGGGGACCAGCACATCTTCCTCCCCCCAGCCGCAGCACTCCCACCTGGTTATCCAGCAGCTCCTGAGCCACCTGGATGCCAACAGCCGCAGTGCGGCCACGGTGCGGGCGGGCATCGTGGAGGTCCTGTCAGAAGCCGCCGTCATCGCAGCCACCGGCTCCGTGGGTAAGGTGGCCCTGAAAGGAGTGGGGGCTGGGAACCCTTCAAGGACAAAGAACTGCCCTTGGCAGGAGGCTGCCTCCCCTTCCAGAAAAGGGCGCTTTAGGGAGGTGTCAGAGCTGGTGGTCCTCAGGAGGTCAGACAGGGAAGGTGGGGGCTGAGGAAGCCCCTGGCTGGAGGTGCAGGGCAGGGAAGAGCGAGCGAGGGGTGCCGGCCTTAGCTTTGGGTTCCCGGCCCCTGCACTCAGGGCCCACGGTGCTGGAGATGTTCAACACCCTGCTGAGGCAGCTACGGCTCAGCATCGACTACGCCCTCACCGGGAGCTACGACGGGGCCGTCAGCCTGGGCACCAAGATCATCAAGGAGCATGAAGAGCGCATGTTCCAGGAGGCTGTCATCAAGACCATAGGTGCTGGTCCCG